ATTTATTTATTTATTTATTTATAACGTTATGCTTAAGGCAAACGTGAGAAATACATAGTTAACAATTCGCATCTAAAATTACAGACAGATCCAAAAAGAAACTAGAGCTCACTGAAATTCAACAGTTCCACCTTACTTAGGCGCTTGAAAAGCCGGAAGGCCGGAGATGCTATCACTACTGAAGTTTTGAGAGACGTGAATTCAGACCCTGCTCGGCAAGTGAAGCTATGCCGCTTTAAGGTTAATAGTGATAGCTGGTTTTTGTTAAATGATAGTTGTAATTAGTGACAACTAATCCTCTCTATATATAAAGCAGAAGCTTGTCCTCTCTATATATAAAGCAGAAGCTTGGTGTGTTTGTCTGTTGTCTGTTTGTAACCAGTGGTTCGCACGGTACGTAGACCCAAGAAAAGAGTTAAGGCATGTTCCCGGATGGGTAGGAAGTTGCTGCCAGGGCGTAGGCTTTGGTTTGTATGTGTTTCGATCTCCTAAATGAGCAGTCAGCCAATATCAAGTTTACAAGAGAAAATCCTGTGGAGAACTGGCTCCCATTTCTCAATGTGCAAATCCAACTAAGGAGAGATACCATTGAAACTAAATGGTATCGGAAGCCTAGTAACAAAAACATTCTAGGTACACTATCGCTCCGCACACCCTACGGCAACGAAACGGGCGGTAGTTAGCAACATGTTCAAGACTGCCAGCAGGGTCTCCTCCAATAACGCATTGAAAAAGGAATCGCTCAATATGGCTCGAAGCATTCGGGATCGGATTGAGAACAGGCCATTATTTAAAGGCACATTTTTTTGTTCTGCGTTGAGTAATTTAAGAAGGCTGAGAAGGACCTAAAGAAATCAATTGCCTCATTTCAACTAAATCAGGTTAAGCCGCCTACCATATTACTCAAATTTTTAGTATGTTATAGAAGCTTTCGCTACCGATAAAAAATACTATCAGTGGTCGGCACACTTTAGACTATCTGACGCCACTTACTACAACCGTACTCATAAATTGCTAAACATTGTAGCGGGAGTTCCATAGAGAAAATTTTT